TAGATTGATTAGCATCGTAAATTTAAATGCTATTGCCATAAAAAATACGAGTATTTTGATGATTTTCTTTTTTTTTCTATAAAAGCGCAAGGACATGTTAATTCTCTATTTAAAATCTTACTCTTAATTTTAGGTCTTCTAATGGACAGGTAAACCGATCACAGTAGCTGAGCGGTCTAAAGCATGTACTGTATCTCTCGCTCGGAAGCCGGGATCGTCGGTTCGAATCCCACACAAGGCATGGATGTTTTGTGTGTGTATGCGTTTATTATGTGTTTACGTTGTCTTGTTGTTCAGGTGGAGACTTTTCGAACAGCTGATCACCCATCCAAGGAGTCCTACCGTCTGTGAAAAATGAATACGGAACTGAATAAGAGGCCAGGGCCTTGAATGGGCTCAAGAGTCACTGAAAAGAAAACGATGGACAAGTAATGATAGTAAACTTATTGTAATTAGTGAATTTTTATTAAACAAACTTTGTAGTGCTTCACTGGAATTCTTTATTTGCTTTCAGTTCACATGCTCATGAAGACTGCGCACCGTCTTATACTAAAATTCTTAGCGTGCATGTCAATCTCCTATGGGATTTTGACTAGTTGACGTGAGAGAAAAGACACCAGTCCTAAAGGATTCTAGCATGCTTCATCTATGATGAAATGAATTTTCTACTAATTCTCGCACTGTATTTCTGGCCTACTCACTAAATAACCATGATATTAAATAATCGTTATCCATATTGTAACCCACAAGATTGGCCTACATACAGATCGCTATTTTATTGAAGCAAAACGGCATTTAAATATACAGTAGAACTTGGTTATAACGTCATCAAAGGGACCTAAAAATAGTGTCGTTATAAACGAATGTCGTTGTAACCGAAATGGGCACTTCCACAGTAGCCTTATGTTAGTCACGTAAAAATCTACCAAAAACCGAGTTAAAATGTTGCATTTTTTAGTGAAATACATAGTTAAGTACAGATTAACGTAACATTAACGTGGAATTGCCCAAATGTGTAATATCAAAGACATATTACAGCGCTTTTCACTGACAATACACACCGCACTAATACTGTATATTAAAGGTAGGCCTACTCACCAAATTACAGTAGATTACATCAACTGTTGTGCCTTACTGTACCTAGATACGAGTACAGTAATCAGTTATCTTCATCTGTTTCCTGTTACTTGCCCAATACACACTTTCTAAATTACGTTCAATGTCCATATCAGAGAAATTCAGGAATGAAAATGACGTTACATACGAGGTTGATGCATTTGTGCATGTCGTACTAAGCAAGGTATAAAAACAGTTGCTTTATGAGGAATTAGTTCGTACCATTGAATATTGACGCAATAGACAAGGTGTCGCAGAAACCGATGTTGCTATAACCAAGTTTTACTGTAACAAACTCCATGAGCTTAGTCCCTCTTGACGAGCCATCAGTAGTTCAGCAATTTAAGAATTTCCTAATATTTTATGGGTCCCGAATGCTCATTTCTATGTTCACAGGAGCCCGATACCGGTCCATATCCCGAGCCAGATTAATTCTGCCTATACCATCCCATTCTACTTCTCTGAGATTCTTTTGAATAATATCTTCCCACGTTTCTTTTTTCTTCTTCTTAAATTCGCTTAGTGGGGGCTGGAGTCCAGCTGGGTCCACTCGGCACGGCGAACACTGATTGGCCTATTGTACCTGCCCCGGGTGATTATGATGATGGAGAATTTGGTGGAATGAAGATTGGCAGGGGAAACCGAAGTACTCTGAGAAAATCCGCCCCAGCGCCACTTTATCCACCACAAATACTTGACCAGGCCCGGGATGGAACCCGGGCCGCCGCGGTGGAAAGCCAGGAACTAACCGCTTGAGCTGTGGCGCTGCCTTGATTTTCCCACTTACATCTATAGCTTTCCAATTGTGTCCTTCCTTTTGTGTTTCCAACAAAAACCTGATTGCATTTTGCTTATCTCCCACTCATGCTACTCGTATGTGCCTTGCAAATCTCACTTATCGTGACTTAATTATTTTAATTATATTTGGCGAAGTGTACAACTTATGAAGCTCCTTATTATGAAAAATTTTCCAGCTTCCTATCAGTTAGTCTCTCTTCCGCCTAAACATTTTCCTCGGCAACCTGTTCTCAGACACTCTCATCCTATGTTCTCTTATTGTCAGGTTTCACGCCCGCACAGAACTACAGACAAAATTATAGTTTTGTGTATTTTAACTTCTATGCTTGTTGGCAACATATGAGGGAACAATAGGTTCTGTACTGAACGGTATCAAGCTTTACCCGAATTTAATTTCCTCTTCATCTCTTCACTAATCACAATTTGATGTGTTATTCTCATTCCCAAATATCTGAACTTTGCAACATTTTCAAAGGACCTTCTAGCTATTTTAATATTATTGTATTTCTCTGCTTACTTTCTCCTGGGATTTTAATAGTACTCTTCCACTCTGGTGATATCGGCAGTAGGTTCCTCCGAAACACTGATGACGTTATGCGAGACTACACCGTGTCATACAACTAAAGACAGTGATTACATAATATAGAACCTATTGTCAATGTTTACGATTCTTTTATGAAAGGAAAATTGAAGTCAGTGCATCTTACTAACGAAAAATTCTGTAAAACTGGGTGATAGAAATTTTGTGCCATTCGAAATATTTTTCGTACCTCTCTTACAATCAATATCAAAATTTAATCAGTTTACATATTTTTTACAAATCCAGAACTCTTAAGCGCGTTTTCGTAAAATGTGATGTGATGGAACACTATAAGCATTAAAATACATGTCAAATTTTGTCGAATATGGATAATAATGTTGTGATTTCAAACCTGGAAGCACAGTGTCTATGCCATTTGTAGTTATGTGAGGTCGTCAGCACTGAATATATATGATGTAAGAAAATTTAGGTAGTCATACTTTAAAATTCTCAGGAGCTGGAATCTTGCATTCGAGTATAGAGTTTACGAAAATCACTTCGATACATCTTCTTCAAGGGTAGCTACTAAGCACAAAGTAATCAGAGAAAGTAGGCTTATATGATTCTTCAAAGAACTTCTATGCCGTACTTCACATTTGAAAACTGTACATAATATTACACTACACATTTCGATACTTGCTTCCAGGAAGTAATAAATAACTGAATCTATTGAAAATTCTTTCTCTAAGATTTAAGTTTCAGATCCTAAACATGCGTTTACTTCAACTATGATTAAAGAGTCTCCTTGGTTCATCCTTACTTTCCTTATCTCTTCTCTTCTTTGTCAAGTTCGTCGAGATGAATTCTGAACGGCCTCTTACATTTTTCACAGTTCATAGATAAATCACATTTGTGTATTTATTTGTATTACACGTACATCCGATATGAACAAAATATTTATCATGCAATGATTTATTTACTACGGATTTGTGTGATTTTCTTAACGATAGTTATTGTAGCGGTGGAAATATATGTCCCGCTTGTAATTTCACTAACAAGAAACTAAAAACAGTATAGGTATTTCAGGTTTCTCTTGCCCACCGTTCGGGGCCACTTTCCCGAAATATACAGCCAAGGCCTTACGGGAACTTTGGGGTTAGGGGAACCCGCCGGCGCGAAAACGTCCATCAAGGTCCAACCGTGCGAGTTGCCGTTTCTCAAATAAATAAATAAAGCATATTGTAAAATGTTTAAAAATATTACACAGTATAGGCTTCAGACAATCGTATAAAAAAGAGCCACAAAAGGAGGCATTACAACGGAAGCCTCTGATTAGTTTCGCGTCTACACAAATGCGGGAGCCTGGATAGCTCAGTTGGTAGGCAGACTAGGTTACGGACTGAATGACCGATGAGTCGGGGTTCGATTCTCTGTAGTGGCACAATACATTTTTCTTCTCCATAAGGCCTCGACGGGTTTTAGAGTCACCAAACCTCCTATACAATTGGCATTGACGAATGTTTCTCTGCGTGAGTAAAGCGGCAGGGTTGTGGAGCTGACCACTCACCTACAGCTAGTGCCGAGGTCAAGAAAGGTGGAGCTATACGTCCACTCCCACAAGTCTTCAAGGCGTGGTGCTTAACAAATTTAGCCCCGGGATAAATTTATCTTTACACAGTTAACGTAACCAAGACTAACAGGAAGAGTCGTGAATGGAAAAACCGTGGAAGCTTAATACCAAATACGTGTATTTTGCTGTAGGCAAAACCGGATTCAAATGGAAATCCATGGATACTTGAAACCCACAGTTGGCAAAAGTACGATTCGTGATGGACTGAGGAATGAAATTACGTTCTTCCAATAATATTTTCCATTGTCATAATGCAGTACTAATAAGCTGACTTAAGTTTTCTTGGTTACCTCAAAACATAACATAAATTTATTTGATATCTTACATTAATTTTATTTTTATTTGACTGCCTCCATTGCTATAGAGATTAATGTAGAGCAATATACTGTATCTGAAGGTTCAAATTCCGTAAATAATACATCATGCACACCATTCTTTTGATATTACACTGGCATAACAGCAGTTTTAAACAGTGTGAAGGGCTTCATGCGTGACTACTCTATTAGCTACGCAATAATGGCCAACCAGTTTAAATTCGGGACTGAACACGAATACGTCTGGAAGTCGAGACATGAATTTAGCTCCAGAATTCAGACGTTTTGGCATGGCTTCATTCGATAGAATCGTGACACTTAGCCGTGTTTCTAAAGATCGATAACGTTTTATAACTTTCACGTAGATGAGGGCAATTTCATACCAGAATTATTAGAAAATAAAAGACAGGCTCTGCAAAATTGCGTAACACGATGACCACTGATGACGTCATCGCCAGGCAAATCCCCTTGTGTCTGATCGCTGGCGCTGCGGTCGGCTGACTGGATAACTGACTTACCTAACTTACCGTCTGTCTGACTAGCTGGCTAGTATCGGTAGATTGAAGTCAGGTGGAGGAGGTAATTACAGAGAGGGAATGCGTTGCCATTAGGTTGTGTTCTCTACTGCAGGTGCTTTGCGCGGAGCCATTTCCCTCCCTGGCTGCCTGACGTGGACAGGTGAAGAAGTCGGTTGGTGAATTTACAGGTAGCATTCAGCCATCAGTGGCCAGCCCAGTGACAGCGGAGGAGAAACGGAACGGCTTATCACGTATGTAATACGAGCACTGTTATAAACTAACATTTATTAATATTGACCTTTTTAAGAGAGGGGCTGGTTAGCATGTCCCATAACATCCCATGGGGAGCCCCAGCGGAGTGACAGTGACTGGTGCAACCTTTACAGAGTGTGGTCATCCGTCCGTTACGCGGGGGGATGGTCGTTAAAGCCATTAACAACAGCAGTAAAGTGAACGGTGTGTTACTCAGTTATCGAGAGCGCGTTATAATTGTTGTCTTCTGTATTCATTTACAAAGCGCACACAAGACAGGTGAATTATGAAGTCGTCGTGTACTATTTTCGAAATTGCAATAGTCATTTGCGTGCAAAATGGGTCCTATTCATCCGAATAATAGATGATTTTATATCTAAACCCCTTGTAGTTTGCTGCAATAGTAAACGATTTATCTATCAAATGAAAGCTTACGTAACGGTACGCCTGATAGATCAGCATATGAAGAAACTGCTCTCACTCATCGATATGTACTACTGCCCCTCCCCCTAATTAGAATTAGTCAGTTGTTAAATTAATATTGCTGTCACCCTGATACATATTCTTTTATGCACATAGTACCAAAGATATTAGAGGTATGTGAAGGTAAACATGGCCAAAACATGATTCGAGTGTCACAACACTTGTAAGTTCTGTTGTCATATTAGGGGTATAAATGGTTTTCTCGAGTCATTCAGGTAAAATCTGAGTTTCAGCTTCTCTTCCTCCACATTGCAAAGCAGATTTTCGAATTGTATTTCATCTTGAAAAAACAATGATCATGTATCTTTAAAAATGTGTTGTTCCTAAACTAGGTTATGTTTTAAAACAGGTTCCTTCGTATAAATTGAAATATGCTACGAAACTGTGAAATGTGTCGCACATGCAGAGTAGATGGAAAATAGTCAATAATGGCTAGAAGAACGTAATTTTTAAAGCTGTGTTGGACCTAATGAGCGCATGCTTGTATCTTTGTGGTGCAAGATGATATAACATCGCATTCGAAATCTGAGAGGATTCAGGAAGAACACCTGACGGGAGTAAAAAAAAAAAAAAGAGCAAAACTCAGAGTAAAAATAATGGCCTGGAGGTGGGTATCACCTTTTCCGATTGCAGACGAAATGCTGCCAAGATTTTGCGCAGTGAATTTGATTTGCAGCTATACTTAGCGAAAATTTAGTTCAATAAATGGAAAATTTTCCTCCTAAGGCAGGGTTGAAGGAATTACAGCCCGAGGGTTACATGTGACCTACAGCAGACAGTCCGGATTATACAAGTGGAACGGTGTGTGTGTGTGTGTGTCCTTGATAGCAGGAGTCCACATGCGAAACATCACCCTTTCGTTAAAATTAAAATAAAATTCGAAGTTATAAATATACATGCATATCTTTTGTGCTAATATGAAACCGAATAGAACGGCGGAATACATGATCATTATGATCATAATAACAACCATCATCACATCCAGTGCTCTATCAGATTGACAACAATATTGAAATCGTACTCAGAGAAGAAAGAAGTGAATGTACTGTATTTATATATAACTACTATGTGCATGGAAAGTATTATAGATTTTTCTGATTCAGTGCTTTTACGCTTAACATATTAGTGCAGTGTTAACATTTGTATTGGAGAGACAGTCGACTGAACTGACGGTCGGTTCACCAATTTTTTGGGATGTGATTCTCATGTGAGTCTTTCAGTCTCTTTAGGCGAATGAATTTCGTGTTATTATCAGCAAGATACAAAAATAAAATTATCTACCTGCCTCAGTGTTTTTCAGGTTCGATGAACATTAAGCTGTAGAGCCAACAGTAAAAATGCTGGGAACGTCAAACTGTTGCGAAGAGGTTTTATTTAGTTATATCCTGTATTTTGATGAAGGCATATTTATCATTCGATTAAAAATAACCATATATTTAGACAAATAGTCACACGGTATTTTGCTTATCAGTTTCTTCGTTTTCTTTATCAAAAGACTGCACATAATAACTATTAGATTTGCGTGCCGAAAATATGGAAGATGGTTATATGTATGTAGTGATGCAAACGAAGATAAATAACTGATGTTTGGAATTCTGATCCAGTAGTTCTTCGACTGTTTCTACATTCTCTCAAAAGTTACCTAGGAACATATGATTTCAACAAGTATGCCTGAACTCTGTTAACAATTAACACGTTTAAATTTATGTGTTACACGCTTCTCATCAGTAAACGTGGATTTCGAGGCCTCTATGTTCTAGTGGCCAGAGTTCCTGGCTACAGATCCAGAGTTCCCGGGTTCGATTCCCTGCGCTACCAGATTTTCTAAGTAGTAGTGGGTCTGGAACGAGGTCAACTCAGCCTCACGAGTATAATTCGGGAGCCATTTTAAGGAAATAGCAGCTCCGGCCTAGAAAACCGAGTTTAACGACCGTGGGAATCCGTTGCGCTGACACCGTGACACCCTCTATCCGCAAAAGTTGGTACTAACTTCGCCGACAAGCGGCGGTCGTTCGGTTGGTATAGTTTGCTTGCGGACTACATCCACGGAGTTTTTTTCTTGTTTTGTTTTTTATGGGTAGTGTTTACGCTTATGGAGATAGTGATATTTGGATAATTGTAGACAGTAGAACGACGAAGCAGATGCGGCCTATTTGAAAATACTGTTTAGGAATTCACTTACCATAATAGTAGGTCACGTTATTCTATCTAAAGCCCCTTCGAAATATAAATAATTTTATAGAAAGGGTTAATAGCTTCATGGATATCAATTGCATCCATGCTTGAATTTAGGACTGACTGAATTAGCATGTGTGATGGCGAAAGTAATGAAAACTATGTACAAAATATTACTTTTTCGGATTTCATTATGAAACAAATACAGTGGAACCTCGCTTAACGAGCATAATTCGTTCCAGAATCTTACTCGGAATGCGAAACACTCGTTAATCGAAACAATTTTTCCCATATAAATTAATGTAAAATATGATAATGCGTTCCATGCCGAAAAAAAATACTCAAAAAATTTTATGTATAACGTTTATTCAAAGAAAATGATATATACATTGTTAAGGAGCGTGAATCATCTTCATCTTTTCTTCTATGCGGAATGAACCAACCTGGAATGCGAATTCGATTTGCAAAAAACAAAAAACAAAAACAAAAAAATCGAAATAATTAGTTTATTATTTATGATACATATCTAATTCTTTTTTACTAGAAAGCTGTCTAGAGACATTTCTTTTTGCCGACGCTTCAAAATTTGGTGAAAATGCGACAGAGCATTATCATTAAATAAATTTGTAGCGCGCATAGCCACTGCCTTATTAGGGTGATGCTTCTCAATGTACAATGCAACAGTTTCCCATGCTTTCAGCATTTCTCTTATTGCGCCAGAAGATTGTTGCTTTGCTGTTAACTCCTCCTCCTCCTCTGACAAACTTTCCTCCACAACTTCTTGCTGTGAAACACAATGCAACTCCAAATCATGAAAATCGTTGATGTAGACCTATTGTATGTGTGTGCTAGATCAGCCATGCTCACACCTTGTTCTTGCTTTTCAATGAATTTACGTTTCATTTCTACAGTTATTTTTATTCTCTTATGGCTGTATTTTTGCGGCTTTTTCTTCGGGGACATTTTTGCAAGGGGTATTAAACTTTGCACACAAAAAATCACAAATAATATGTCTGAACACACGTTTGAAAAATGTGTGATCACAAGCGACACTAAGATGCTAGCGGGACGAGTGCTAAACAGAGACTGATGTAGCAAGCGCACAATCCGGACCTTCCCCTCTAGTCACTCGTTATGCGAAACGTCGCTCGTTAAGCGAGTCATCTTGTTTATAATTTGTTTTGCTATTTATGCTGATTACTCGTTATGAGAGGTGCTCGTTAAGCGAGGTTCCACTGTATTTTAAAAGAAAATATGCAAATAGCTTAGGCATTTTGTCATTTCAGTTTTATTCCCGTTTAAGAAATAGTATTTAAGAATTCTAAGACTGGATTTTAATTTACTATAAATGATATTTCCAACATTGTACATAAAGGTATATGCTCCATATATAAACATGTACATTTAAAATGAACGTAATGAATACAAGTTTGCCGATAGTAATATAAACACAAGCGGTGTGTGAAGTCGTGTAGCACAAGTAGACCGCCCATGTTGATTAATAAGTTTTAATTTCATCTTCAACTCGAGATTCCGGGGCCCTAAGGCTGTATTCTAGCACTTCTCGTCCCAAACTCGAAGTGTTTTTCCCAATATATAACTGCTCATGCCAGAATTTCTCACGGCAACATTTATGACGAATACGTAAAAGTATTTTAAACACCATTGAAATTAAATGGTTTAATAAGAGAGTATGACATGTTTGAGTGAATAATATCCTGCACATTTTTACAGAAACTAAATCAAAGAATATGAGATGAACAGTTCGCACATGCAAATGAATATGTGAAAAATATATACAAAGTTTTGGTCAGAAAATCTGAAGAGGAGAAAATGTCTTGAAAATCTTGGCATACGTACCAGGGTAATACTAGAATGCATATTAGGTAAACATTGTATGAGGTTTGGAACTGGATTTAACTGCCTCAGTATTGTCTAGTGGCAGGTCCTTGTGGACACAGTTTTCGTAAAAGCAGGGAAATTCTTGACCAGATAAGTAGAAGTCAAAACCCTCTACTATGAATTGTGTATGTTTCATGAGAGGGTATTAATTATCGTTCATTTCATTTGCAGTCTTATCTATAAACATAACGTTGTGTCATCCCATAATACATATTGTTGTTATGACCTGCAAATAATTGTCACGTTTTCAGGGTTTACGGATCATATTGAGCTGCAGTCTGTATGTACACTTCCGTTCCTAGCCTTACTTTCAGTGCAACCTACCCTATGACATTTATTCCGTGACGTCAAGGAATCTAATTTCATGTGAACAGAGAATTAGCAGCATGCAAGCTGGAGCGTTCATTGTCAGAAATGATGATGCAGCCTATGATTCGAG